GAAATTCCGTTTCTCAAATCTTTATTCGCGTGAAATGACAAGCGAATGTTTGCTTCCGATAACTTTACGCAATATTCAAAGATCGAAGAGATTGATCTGTTAATTGATAAAAACCAATAAAACTTGAAACACTACCCTGACTACTCAGCACGATCAACTCAACATATCAAAGTTTCGTCCCATCAAATTATTCTCCGAATCATTTGAAACATCTTTTTTGAAGGAGCTTGAAATTTTCAGAACTATTTTTAACATGATGACTGACTGGTGCATAAATTTAATACTCATTCAGGAAGGTCTCATCTCTTTGAAAAGTTTTCATTGACTGAGTGAGCTGCGAGCATGAGTGGGTGATAAAAATAACAGCTGCATCACTGTTTTCTAATTATTAATCTTATCTGCACGAAACATGATTCAACGATGAAGATTTATGATAGTGATTTCAGAACTGGATGCCTTAAGCAATATTGTGACTGCTCGATTGCCTACACGATCACCATTCTACGACATGTTCTCGTTGAACGTGATAGGAAAAAGATGTGGATGTCACCTCTCCACAACATCGAATATTGTCTCTAATTCATTTGTATTCAACGTTTCACGATGTTTCTCCATCAGAAGTCTTTCGTCTCGATCAAATTCACGTCCATTGCTTCGCAGTGCACCTGTTCTATCTCTGAGCCGAGTAAACGGCTTGCCACTATCTCTGTTCAGTGCAGACGATTGCCATCTGTTTGCATTCTGATGTTGTGCCCTGTCCTGAATTTGATCCGAACAATGACACTGATCAAACTCAAATTTTTTGAAACATTTTGTCTTGATTGAAAGAAGTACAAAACAGTAGTTCTGTTAGAAAGTTGTAGAATTCCCTCCCTTCCTTCTTCCTTCCGAAAAATCTGAGAGATAACTGTTACCATCGATTGATATGCTAAAATCCACGGCCTAATACGATGAGAGATTTCCGGGTTATTTTGCTCACCTCTGTTATCAGCTCATAAACTTGAACTATATATCTTCTCTTCTTATGCATTCTCGTTGTTATTGTGGAAATATTTTCTACTTAAGCACAAGAGGAATCGATAAATTGCGTAAATGCTTTAGAATTCTTTAGATAAGTTCATACTAGGTGACGTGAATAAGGTGTTTCTTCATATTTCATTCATTCGCGAAAACTGAATGCAGATGAGTCCGATTCATTGTTTTAGAGAAATACATCACCACTGGATTTTAATCTAATGGTCAGAATTCATTAACATGATTTTGATCTACTGATCAAATGGTGACAAAATAATACTAGCCTATTTGATCTAATGATTTTGATCTGCTGACTAAATACCATTTGTCGGATATTGACATAATGATTGAATAACAACAATTATAATAGTCTTGCTCTACTGTCCGACTGGTCAATAAACTTCAGTGGTGCAATTTGCAATAACAATGATAGTAGTGTTTGTGTCCCTTGCCCAGTTTGTTGCTGTGATATCTCCGATGTTTGGCTGAGCTTGAAATTTCTTTGCAATTCTAGTTTATCCCAAATTTAATTTCTTCGATCTATTAAAGCTATTTTACAACTTCTTTCAAGAAGTAATACGCGTGAGATTGTGATTTGATTTCGGAACATCCGATTATAATTTTTAAAAACCAATCGTATACTCACTTGAATCTTTACAGCCAACGAAGAATTGAAATTTGCTTTTGTGACGTTCTCGTTGGTGTCATTACTATCAGATGCACCGACCACAGCAGATGTAGACGCAAAATATCGATGAATGCATTTAGTGCAATCACTTGAGAAGCATTTAGCAACTAAGCAATAGACATTCGGTGAATTTAGCCATCTGAAGTACGAATTTTGAAACAACTTTGAAGAGTTCGAATAGAGAAAGTCTTTTTTTAAGAATTCATATTAAAAGAAATTGAACTTCGGAACAAAAGGAAACTTAGATTTAAAATATTCATCGCAGTGTCAAGCTCCACTTTGTAATCAAAAAGTGGCTCATCTGTAACCGCGAGGTACCAAAAACTTTTATATTTTTCAAATAAATCGAAAAATCTCGAGTGAAGTCAAGATATCTTTGACAAAATTACCTGAAACGATGGCTACATTTTGACAGACTTATCATTGCACTTCCCAATTCGGTTATTACCACAAACTTTGAAGAAAATACAGATTTTCTAAACAGATCCTGAAATCAAACCAGCACTCGTCAGTCATTCCAGCGTTACTGCAGGCCGCAAAAATCATGAACGCTGAAATTCTTCGCTATCGGACGGCAAAACAACGGATAACTATGAATGCTACTTTAGAAAAGCTTGGAGTTTTCCGTTCAACTGAACTGATTTTGGTTCGTTTCTTTTCTTGATACTCAATGAAATCGGTAAATTCATAAATTCATCTTCATGTATCTATCACCCGAT